AGCCTTTGCCTCATTTTACAACTAAGGAATTTGGGCACACGGACATCAAATAACTTGTCCCAAATTATACAATTAGTAAGAGGTTCAAATTCAAGCAGCCTGTTTCTGGAGCTTCAGCTCTTAGCTACAAATATGAACTTCTTCCAATTATAGAACTAGGAATCTTGGGTTTCAATTCTAATTCTGCAATGCATTTAACTGTGTGGCTTTGGTAAAATTATTTAGATGTTCTGAGCTTTGATCTCCTCTTCTGCAAAATTGAGTAAATTCTTTATCTAAAAATCAATTTTAATTATTAAATGAAATAATACACATAAAAGCAGCTGGCATGCAGAAGGCACTCAATAGAATTGAGTAGGATAAACTCTGATTGTAAAGAGCAATATAAAACCATAATTTCCAATTAAATGTTATTTTACATTTATGAAGCAAATTTTAACAAGCACATTGTTCTGATTCACTATTTCTAAAACAGACATGGGCTGAAAATCTTAAGTACTACAGAAGTATATTCAATAAACATGCATGATGTAACAACATATCTTCTTCCAAATTCTTTAGATTCAGACTTGGCAGCAACTTTAAAAAATATTATGTCTGCATAAAATTTTAATAATATTTTAAAGATGTCAACTGGCATTTGTCCACTCATTCTCCCTTCTAAAGAAATGACCTTGCCTGTAGGCCTTTGTGTCTAGGTTGTCAGGTTTCTGTACAATTTTTCTCTAACAGTGGGAAGAGTTGGCCCCTGATCAGGAAAATAAACATCTCACAATTCTAAATTTACATGTATCTAATATTGTGGTCTCGGAATACATAAAGCAAAATCTGAAAGTAGGAAAAGTAGATAAATCTACATCATACTGGGAGATTAGAAAACACTTCTCAGCAACTGACAATAATGTATTTGAACTAGAAATGCCCCCCAAAAAAGATAGCTAGAACATTCCCATATCTTAGAAAGTTAGTAAGTACATTTCAAAATAATTCATGTAATTAATAAGTATATTTTAAAATAATGTAGGTGTAGAAAGTATGGACTTCCCTATGCATAAAATTATAAGCTATTATTGAGAGAAATTAAAGAATATATATTTAATATGTGGAGAAATATACAATATTCATAGATTGTAAGACCCAATGAAATTCCCATCAAAATCCCAACATGCTCTCTCTGTCTCTGTGTGTGTGTGTGTGTGTGTGTGTGTGCGCACACACGTGTCTGTGTCTGTGTCTATGTGGAAGTTGACAAGTTGAAACTAAATGTGTATGGAAATGCACAGATCAATAGATAAGATGCTTTATCAAATTTCAAAAATCGTACAAAGTTTAAGATTAAAACACTATTTATAATAAATATAAAATTTAAGATTACATAATTAAGATAATTCTAAAAGCATGATATTGGTGCTAGGATCAACAAACTGACCAGAGAAAGAGATTAAAGCAGCCTGAAACAATACCATACACACAAAGACACTGGATTTATGACAAAGGTAGTGCTCCAAAGTATTGAGGGGAGAAAAAGTATTGGGAAAAATGTACTGGGGAAAGAATGGTCTATTTTATTTGCTTGGACAATAGATATCCATATTAAGAAACAAATCTGACTCCCTATATCACATCATATTACAAAAATAAATTCCAATTGCATTGTAGATCTAAAAGTGAATGGAAAACAAGCTTTTATTGGATGATATTAGAGGAAAATACCTCATGACTTTGGGGTACAAAAAGATTTTTTAAACTAGATATAAACAGTAGCAACCATAAAGAAAAAGACCGATCATTTTGATTATAAATTAGGACCTGCTGGCAAAGACACTATTAAAACACCAAGAATTAGGAGAGAAAGTAAGTTATAGAATGAAAGAAGATAATTGTGTATAACTGATAAAGAATTCGTATCTGGCTTATGTTAAAAATACATATAAATCAATCAGAAAACATGTAACAGTAGAAAAATGAAAGAATGGCATTTCAAAAAAAAAATCCAAATGGCCAATACACATATGAAAAGATATGCAATCTCATTAATAATCAGAAAAAGGCAGATTAAAAACACATAGTAATAAAAACACCTACCAGAATGGCTGAAATAAAAGACCAACAATACCAAAAACGGGCAAGGATGTGAAGCAACATAAATTCTTCTATACTGTTTTAGGGCAGAGGGGAGTACAAATCAGTTAGGGAAATAGTTTGGTGTAGCCAGCAAAGTTAGAAATATCCATACCAATTCTACTCCTGGAGGTTTCATGTACATGTGCACCAGCAGACATACACAAGAATGTTCATCACAGCATTACTATTAATAGCCCCCAAAGAGAAACAATCCAAACATTCATCAATAATATTCTGAATAAATTATAGCATAATCATATAATAAAATGCTACATTATAAAGGAAAGTAAACTGACTACAGCTAAGTGGAATGACATGGATGAATATCACAAACATGATGCTGAGCCTAAAAAGCCAGGCACAAAGGAATACATACTCTATGATTTATTTTACATCAAGTTCAAAAGCAGGCAAAATGAAATGTGGTTTAAGGACACATACTTAGTTAATAAAAACAAAAAAGGAATAATTTCCGTAGAAGTAGTCACCTTTCGGGAGGAGGAAAGGAGTTATGACTAGGAAGATGCAAGTAGGAGGCTCCTAAAGTCCTGGCAAGGTTCTATTTTTTTTTTTTTCTTTTTTTTTTTGAGATGGAGCTTCCCTCTGTCACCCAGGCTGGACTGCAGTGGTGCAATCTCAGCTTACTGCAACCTCCACCTCCTGGATTCCAGTGATTCTGTTGCCTCACCCTTCCAGGAGCTGGGATTACAGGCACCTGCCACAATTCAGGGCTAAAAGGCTCTAGGCTTTTATAAATGTACCACACTGCCTCTGGGCCTTAGTTTCCTTATCTGTAAAAGCAGACCACTGATCAAAATACCACATAAAGGCCCTTTCAATTTGTAATTTTACTTATAATAAAAGATCTTTAAAATATATTGCATTTTATTATGCTTGCCCTTGCCACATCTTAATTATCTGCAAGCATTAACTACTGTTTAAAATAACAGCATCCTCAAAACATTTATATTGACCAAAATAAAGTAAAAAATTGAAGTGTTGAGAATTACTGTATAAATGAGATTGTTTATTCTATTACATTTTTTCTTTATCTGACTACGACATTTGTTATGAGAAAATGTGAACTCAAGTGCAAATTAGTTTTGAGTTCCATGTCTAATCATTTCTTAATTTGGTAAATGCATGTCATTATTTTCTTATTCTAAAATTTTCAATTCTACACTTTCTGTACACAGGAGTGTTACAATTGTTCATGGACACACAAATATTATCTCTTAAGGGAGAAGCTGTTGCTTTGGTTTTCATGTCAACCACAGCATTTGCCATAGTATTTTGAACAAAATAAATGCTCAAGAAAATGTTTTTTGAATGAATGCATCAATGAGAAAAATTCCTTGGCTTGAATCTGACTTAAATATTTGCTAAATGGATCAAGCACCAGCACCAAGCTACTTCTGTCTTCAGAAAAGTTTTTATCAGGCACCAGTTGCTTAAAAATAAAGTGTGAATCTGTGGTATTCTTAAATTCTTTGGGATTATGTAGGAATGTGTAAAATGATGTTCAAGTGTCTCAGGAGAAAAGGGTTAGTAAGCAACACTTACATAGAAATGAAACTGTTTCAGGCAGTGGTCAACCTCAGCAAAGTATTTGCAAAATAACAATCAAGTCACTGCTCTCCTTTGCTTTGGGGGTCAGAAGCTGTCCACTTACCTCACTCCTCACTAATTGCAGGGAGGGATGAGTGGAAAGCAGGGCACTGGATGAGTGCTGAAAGCTGTCCCAAACGTGGCATCTTGTTTCCTGCGGGCCCAGGTCTGCTTAGCATTACGCAATGCTTAGGTTTGTTCGTTGTGGTCAGNTTTTTGAGATGGAGTCTCCCTCTGTTGCCCAGGCTGGAGTGCAATGGTGCAATCTCAGCTCACCACAACCTCTGCTTCTTAGGTTCAAGCAATTCTCCTACCTCAGCCTTCTGAGTAGCTGGGATTACAGGCATGCACCACCACACCTGGCTAATTTTTTGTATTTTTAGTAGCGACAAGGTTTCTCCATATTGGTCAGGCTGGTCTCAAACTCCTGACCTCAGGTGATCTGCCTGCCTCAGCCTTCCAAAGTGCTAGTATTATAGGCGTGAGCCACCATGCCTGGGCAAGATTCTATGTTTGATCTGGGTAATGGTTACATGGATGTTTGATAATCATTCATTAAGCAGTACAGTATTACTTTTCTGTATGTGTGCCATGTGTTACCATAAAAATGGATTTTTAAAATGCAGAGGAGACAAACTCAGTAGGAAATATCTTCCCTCCCCAATAGTTTCCAGCCTCAGTAAAAATATAAACCCTGAATCTGATTTCAAGTTAAGTCTTCAACCGCTTTTTTCTGACAAACTCTGGGGTGTAGGCCAATCCCCAAATGGCCATTTCTTCTTTAACTTGTCCATTATCAGGCAACCAATTATATTAATTTCTTAATGAAGTCAGACAGGAGCCAGACACTAGCCCTCCGTCTTCCTTATACAGAAGAGATCATACTTTAAGCTCTAAGTGGTTGCATAGAAGCCCCAGCTTATCTGACTTGGTGAGGGGCAGGCGTCTTACCTTCCACTTAACTGAGCTTGTACGGACATCACAATGTCTCCAAGTACATAGTGTTCATAAAACTCTGTCTCTTTAATCTCTAATAACCCAACTCATTTATATCCTGGATGTGGGTGAAACATTTCAGTAAACAACTACAACTATAGTACCGTGTTAAATACAATAATAATAATAATAAATAGTTTAGGGAAACATTGAACTGAGAGAAAAGAATTACTCACATTGGGTTTGGTATTCCACTCCAGAAAGCAAGAGATTCAAGTAAAATAGGTGGATAATATGTCTTGGAGAATTAGATAGGACAAGAGATCGCTTACCTGTATACTAGGTTTAGTTAGTTCTTGTGTGTAGTAGCACGGTTTACTTGTCATCTTTATTGGAAATCCACATATATGGTGCAGTTTAGATTTTAAATCTGAAAGAAAACTTTTCAACACAACTTCCGAATCTACTCTTGGAAAGAACTGTACAGGCTGACTTCTGATGCAACTGAGAGGATATCTGAACAATGTTAAAGAACAATGTCTGATTTTTTAACATAAGAGGCAGAAATTTATATGGAATTTTAAAAAGTATTAAAGTAGCAATGTCAAAAAGGCACACATAAGTACATCCTAACTCTTTTATATTGCTTATCTGATACCATCCACAGCTGAAAGCATGTTTTCTCACAGGGATCTTCATTCTTTCTATTCTAACACTCCAAATCAAGAGAATTCATAATATCTTATTATATGGCTTTCTAAATGAAAGGGCAATTACGGTATTCCAAAAAAGATTTTTAAGGAAGATACTATAACCCTTACAAATTACAAAATAAGTATTATAATAAACAATGAACAGATTGCACCTCCAAAAACTGAAAAAAATCAGGACAGAGAAATAATATATATAGATTGTATTCAAGCTACAAAAGCGGTGTTTCGAGAAAAGCAGTTACTTTTTCTGATGAAACATATTCCGAAGATTTTGAATAATATATTGGCATCTTATGAAAGAAAATAATGAACTTTTGCTAACCCCAGTTTTACTATTAAAATAAGTTTGGCTTAGGAATCGTAAAATGTAAAAAGACAACACTATGGCTCTTGTTTCGTTTTTAAACTCCAGCAGGTCAGAATACAGACACAAATGGTAAAATCAGTACTAAGATTTGACTTTCGCCTGAGCACTTACACTCTTTTCATATGTATATTTAAAATTTTTAAAATACTGTTTAAAAAGACATTTTCTTAAGTCAATTGGGTGCAATTAAGCATAAGGCAAATCATCTAAAATTTTCCTATCAAATTAGATAATCTCCTCAAAAGAAAAATCTTGTTTTACAAAAAATCTTTTGTCTACCACCTACCCTTTTAATCGAACCCTTTCAATTGTATCTGAAATGCCACTGGAGGGAGCACTTGGCTAAGGAGAATCATGATTGCTTTCTACTTTCTAAGTACACATTTTTTTCTAACTTTTGTTTTCTAAATTGTTGAAGTGGTGTTAAAAGAAAATATCCTTATTAAGCTCATCCTGAAATAAAAATAGAAAGAAATTCTAAGCACACCAAAAACACTTGTGCAGATAAGAAGTTGGGGGAAATGTACCATAGTTTCGGTCAGACACAGAGAAGTTTGGAAAGGATGACCATGAGAGCGGAAACAAAACTAGATTATAAGGTGGGCAGAGAGCATCTGCTTCAAACAATTGGTGTGTAAAGGATATGTGAAGGTCCTTTCTCCGAGCATTTTGAAATAGATGTTGCAGTATATTTTAAGTTTTCTACAATCATCTGGAAGTTTATAGCCATACTAAAAATTAAGCACAAAATTTAAATATTTTAGAGAAAGCTGAACTTAGGTTAAGTTACAATAAACAAAAATCAAGTAACTTCTAATGTAACATGTATTTCCATTCCTTACCAGGACATCCCAGTGTCTCTGGAAATCTTCATATGAGCGAAAAGGACAGCCAGGGGGGATGGCATGAAGAATATTTATAATCTGTCCCATTTTCATACTGTGAAAAATGAGAGGAAGACATTATGAGCCAATGCTTAAATACAGTTTAAGTCAACTATGTGATTTAGAAAGTGTTCAAAAAAGATTTAACAACTATTTCACTAACTATATAAACTAAACATTTGCTCAAGTTTCAAACACATTGTACTGTCTTTTTGTTTTAACTGACAAATAAAAATTGTATATATTTATCATGTACGACATTGTATTTCAAAATATATATACATTATGATGGCTAAGTCAAGCTAATTAACATGCACTTACATACTTTGTGTGTGTGTGTGTGTGTGTGTGTGTGTGTGTGGTAGAGCACTTAAACTGTACTCTTAGGGCTATTTATTTTTTTTTTGAGACAGAATCTCACTCTGTCGCCCAGGCTAGAGTACAGTGGTGTGATCTCGACTTACTGAAACCTCTGCTTCCCAGGTTCAAGTGATTCTACTGCCTTAGCCACCAGGTGGGATTACAGGTGCACACCGCTATGCTCAGCAAATTTTTGTGTTTTTAGTAGAGACAGGGTTTTGCCATGTTGGCCAGCCTGGTCTCAATCCTGGCCTCAAGTGATCAGCTTACCTTGGCCTCCCAAAGGGCTGCAATTACAGGTGTGAGCCACCTTACCCCTTCTTAATGACTTTTAATATGTGTGTAAAAAAAGTAATTGCGATTTTTGTCATTACTTTCAACAGCAAAAGCCGAAATTACTTTTGCACCAATCTAATACACTCTTACTAATTTTAGTCACCATGCTGTAGAATAGATCTCTTGAAGTTATCCTTCCTACATAACTGAAATTTGTATCCTTTGACCAACATCTCCCCAATGGACCCCTTCACTTCCACCTACCCGGCCCCCGGTAAGCACTATTCTACCTCTGTTTCTGTGAGTTCAATTGTTTTAGAGTCCACAAATATGTGAGATTAGGTAAGGTATCTCTCTTTCTGTGCCTGGCTTATTTCATTTAACATAATATCCTTTAGTTTCATCCATGTTGCAAATGACAGGATTTCCTTCTCTTTTAAAGGTGACTACTATTCTATTTGTTTATATACCACATTTTCTTTATCCGTTGATCTGTTGCTAGACACTTAGGTTGATTCCATATCTTGGCTGTTATGAATAATGCTGAAATGAACATGGGGGTACTGATTTAATTTTCTTTGTATGTATTACCAGTAGTGGGATTGCCAGACCATAAGGTAGTTCTAATTTTTTGAGGAACCTCCATACTGTTTTCCATGATGGCTGAACTAATTTACATTCTCACCAGTAGTGTGCAAGTGTTGTTTTCCCCCACATCCTTGCCAGTATTTGTTATTTTTTGTCATTTTGATTATAGCCATTCAACAGGCATGAGGTGATCTCTCATTGTGACTTGAATTTGCACTTCCCTGATGATTAGTGGTGTTCAGCATTTTGTTTTTCATAAAATGTGCCACAAATGTTCTTTATTTACATTTAAAAAATGTTTGAAGGTATATACTAGGTATACATATTCATGAGTACATGAGATATTTTAATACAGGCACACAATGTGTAATAATGACATCAGGGTAAATGGGGCATCAATCACCTTAAATATTTATCCTTGGGCCGGGCGCGGTGGCTCAAGCCTGTAATCCCAGCACTTTGGGAGGCCGAGGTGTGTGGATCACGAGGTCAAGAGATCGAGACCATCCTGGTCAACACGGTGAAACCCCGTCTCTACTAAAAATACAAAAAATTAGCTGGACATGGTGACATGTGCCTGTAATCCCAGGTACTCAGGAGGCTGAGGCAGGAGAATTGCCTGAACCCAGGAGGCGGAGGTTGCGGTGAGCCGAGATTGCACCATTGCACTCCAGCCTGGGTAACAAGAG